CACACTGAAAAAGCAAAATAATTGAACTCGTTAGTTTGGGAAAATCTACAACATTTTGCATTGACGTTTCACAAAGAATTAGGCGTTGTTAGTGATGACTAGCGTTCAGTCATCATGGCAGTGTTGTTTCAATCGAAGCGAAGTTTGTTCAACCTACTTTAGTTGTAGGAGTTTGTGCAATAATAACAAAACACATTATGATACGCCATTTAACCAAAATTTAAACTCAAGTACCGTACCATCCTGGAGGGAGTCAGAGAAGCCCTGAATAAATATGTCAACTGGAACACTCTGGATTCAGCAGGCACAAGTCATGCATCGATCAAATCGCAACACTACGGATCACCATTGAACAGAGCTCGGAATAGCAGACAGCCCTCTGTCTCAACTTTATTGACTTTGAAAAAGGCTTTGATATCAAAGCGTTGACCGAGAGGTGATTTGCATTTACTTCGCTACTAAGATGTGCCGCCGACGATTATACACACCATCGAACAGTTGTACGATAATGCTGCATGCCAAGTAGTCCACAACGAGAAACTCACAGAATCCTTCTAAGAAGTGAAGACATGAGTAAGACAAGCTGGCTGTCTGATCGCAGCAGACTGGATAGTGAGACACTCAGCGGCGGGTAAAGAGGAGACAGGCATAAAATGGACACACACAAAAATCCTAAAGGATCTGAACTTCGCTGATGATATACGTCTGATTTCTCACAAACTGAAAGATACGCAATTGAAAAGCGACAATTTGACGATGGTAGAAGCATCAAAGATAGCCCTTCAGGTGAGCAAAGAGAAGACAGATTTAGGGAAGATTCCTGGCCAACAGAGACAGCAACAACAACAAACAAGAATCACCGTTAATCAGAAAGATCGGAAAGAAGCAACCTCTTTTACCTACCTACTCAGTTATCTGAGAAGCATAGTTTCAACTACAGGCGGACGGAAATGATGGAGATATCAAGGCGAGGATTGAAAAAGCAAGGCAAGCTTCCATTTCTCTTAAGTCTGTGTGGAGGTCAACAGCATTCAGCTTGAAAATAAAATCCAGGTTTTCAACTCAGTGCTACTTTATAGATCAGAGACTTGGTGCATCGTAAAGAGCACGTCAAATAAATTACAGACTTTAATCAACAACCGTCTTCGCTCAATACTACCGGAAATCATATGGCCAGGGAAGATAAGCAACAGAGACCTCTGGGAATCTACCAACCAACCAGGATGCAATTTTGCGACAAATATGCAGGAAGAAATGAAGGATGATTGGCCTAGCTCTGAGAAAACCACCAAGTGACATCACGCACCATGCTATCGCTCAAGTGGTACCTGAATGGTAAGTGACCGTTTGGTCGTTAGTGCAAGGGTAACATGGAAACGGTTATGTGAAGATGAGATAAAAGCCTTTGAGCAGGCATGGAGCAGAGTATAAACGTTGGCAGAGAACCGAACGCAATGGAGACGCACGATTGAATGTCTATATTCCTCTGGCAGTTGAAGGAAACAATAATAATAAAATCAAGTAACTGTTTGTTGGTTGAAAATAAACTTTTCTTTCCGTTAGAGTGACTTCACTTGACCGTCTTTATCCCCATAATTTGCCGATACATTCTTCCATAAGCTAACAGGTCACCGGTGATCAAGCCTTTCAGTCCAGATATCTCAATCAACGGGACATACAAAATTGATACCCGTAATACAAAAAATGTCTATCATATATAAGCGACTGAAACTTGGTTGAATGGTCAGCGAAAATACCAGTGATTACATGTTGCACTATAAATGCATAAATACGCTTACCTTTCGAAGGCACTTTTATGCAACAGTAGATAGGAGGTTTGTATCCTGTGAATAAAGCAGTGAAGATATTTCAACAAACCTTCAAATTTTGTTTCATGTTTACTTCCCGCGTGGTCCAAAAATAAGCTCTCTGACTAATGAATAATCAAAATATCTGATATATCTGAATGCAACTAATCGAAGATAAGCGTTTGTGACACTAGGTAGATCGCACGGAATTATAGATTAGCACTGATTTCAAGGATGATATTTTAGGCTATTACAGTTCACAAATTCTTGAAGACAGTAGAATATAGCGGAGCAATTATCTTTCTATTCCGGTGTATAGTGAACCCCTTAAATCTTTTCCAGTTGAATTAAATGCTCTTATACAAGATGATATGAGGACTAATTCCACTCCTCCAGCTCAGAGTGTCCGCGGATGACCACCAAATGTAGATGACTTGACTGTGTACTGAAGAACTATTAGCATACGTTCTCTTATAAGATCCGTTAACGTAATACTGGAACCTGTCTTTACTTATTCTCAGGCTGCCTACGCTTTTGTGCATGTCTAAATGAGAAGTATAACGTGAAGAATTTTGGCATTGATGGGATGATCTATCCCATGATGTAGACTGAGCTGCTTCTCAGTTGAAATTTTATTACCATCATTACGCCGAAGAAAAACACCACTCATGAATTCCCTGAGCGTCTTGGCGAAAATACTGTTCGGTTTGTTACGTTCCACTCATGGCTTGGAATCCTACATACTCTCAACTTTATTACACATACTGACCAAAACGATCTTTTCATACTTTATTCTTCATCATGCATTCACTCACTTTCAAGTGATGACTGGTTCCTTGATATCTCATCATCCTTATTTCAATTTCCAAAGTCATCTCTAATGCAAATCTCAGGATGAATAGCAGTCATTCAATCAACGGTGGATTCTAGGCTATGGGTACTGGCAGTAATTTGTGTAATCCGCCCCTCATTATATTTCCTTGTGAATATATCTGTGCTTCATTATATTCCCCTTACATATTTGAACACCTTACTGTTTCTGTATTCAGGGTTAATTAACCTCCATCAGAATTGTAGAAGGAAACACCTTTCTCAATCACGTAAGTGACTAAGAGTTACATGAATTAAAGTGGAAACTTCTGAATATGTCGCTCTGAAAATCCAGTTCGGTATTGATTTTCAGCATCTTCATAATAAACTGGTATTATCCCATCGCACATTTATGTTAACAAACAGTGTCTCAGAAATCACAAACATTAATTGACAAATATTCAACGATAAATTATCAGCAAAACTGTTGAAATTCATCGATAACTATACTTACCAAACTCTCAATTGATTTACTACTGTTAACGCCTTCAATTCACTCACTTATATGCGTCAGTGGACATCAACACAGTCTATATGCGTGATATGTAGCAGCATTTATTGTACTTTGAAGAGCGTTTTAACTTCCAATGGTATATTGATCTCTGTAATATATTTTGGCTATGTGTGGTTGGTGAATGGTTTTTAATGTTATTTTATAGTATTTCAAATGAGTACAGAATGAATAACTCTATTCACATTTTTAATTCACCACCTGAATTCTCTGTTCATTGTCTCTCTCTCGTGATCATCTGATATTCAGCAAACATCAAATGGATTCCGGTTCTGCGAGAAACATATGGCTTCGGCAACACATCACCGTTTCTCTCCGTTCAATCGAGTGTTTTTAGCCAACTCTAGCTCATATCTTCTCTTCCATCAGACACTTGACTCATCTTTTTCCATTTTGCTTCCAGTGGAGAGATCGTGTGACTCCTCATGCTACTCATCAGTCTCCTCAGTGTATGTCTAACCCATCATCCTCTCCTTCTGCATAATAATTAACCCATAGTCCTAAATTATAGTTGTTATAACTGAAGATGAAATGATCATTAATGAAATGCAAACAAGGCAGTCAAACACGAATAGACGCCTAATTTTCCTTTGTTAGTTACATCATTTCCTTCTATTTTTTTCATTTTCTTTTTTAAAATCTTTATTTCCAAAGTGTTTCCCTGACCTTCTTGATCTCTGTTGAAAAGATCATGTCTCTTCCATGGGCTGTTGGGTATTTTTCCACGATTTTGGAAAAAATTACGATTAGAAGCTGTTGTCATAACTTTCATAACGGATTAAATTGCTATTTAATAACTCGGCGATGCAAACGAGTAAAACTAAATCAATTACGAATTTACTTGTGTGTTGATTGGTTATGACACTGGGCTAGCTTCTTCATCACTGAGAACACTGCCTAAATGTACTCAGCTTCACAGTTACCTTTTTAGTAGACGACGTGAGTCGCATCGATATTCAAATTAGTGTTGTGTATTTTGCGAAGGAGATGAACGAATTATATCCCAAGAATAAGTCTGAGAATTCATCAATACGTGTAAGCGCATTACTCATATAGTGGTTAGATTTCTTCCAAGTGAAACGGAATATACGGTGGCTAAGAATGACCATATATCGCCTTAAGTTAAATATCGTTAGCATAACAGGATAATAGCATATCACATATAATAACGGCGTTAGAGTCAACAATTTCATACATTTTCCTCAGTTGCCAGTTTGAATGATCTAATATTACTATACAGTACAAGAACAGAGAGGAGATAACGGAGGGGCATACAGTAACTGTCGCATAGATGATTGCACGTTTACTCGAGATTATGTCACATGAATTGATGGTGACCACTCAAGACTACTTCACCATACAACCTAATTTACTGAAATGTCATTCATCATCACATAGTATCCTTCAATGGTCTTTGAAATGATCCAATAATGGTTCGCAGTTCCTCTACACACACCCTTCGTGTTGACTTTATTTAAAATTTCTCTCTAGGCTTTGTTTAAGGGTCATTTAACGTTACTTTAGTGTGATTTGATTTTCGCATGAATTCGACATCGTTGCATTTGCTATTCAGTTGGACATTCATACGGTTATTTCTTCGTCAGAACGCACAAAGTTCTATTTTTTTTTCTAAGTCAGTAATTCCTGAACATAAATAAAAGTGAAGAATGAGGCAATCAAACGACTATTTATTTCAAAAATTTCATATGTTGACTGTGGTCCAGTTATGCACAGAAAAATACAATCGGGCAAAACTTGATTTACACTGAGAACTGCATGGCAAGATGAAACAGAACATTGGGATCACAAAATTATTTCAGGAAGCTGGCGATACCAATAGCCACCTGGAATAAGCAAAATAACGAAATTGACACCATCAACAGTCATGTAATTTTGTTGATTTGTTGCATGGATTACAATTCTTCATTTACAATGATAACATTGAACACTGAAAACAATATAAAATATGACTGGAAGGTTTAGCATAACTTCGCTCACATTATGAATCCCAGTAGACGTAAACTTTTCTTCTATTACATACTATCTGTGCTTTGAAACTATTTCGCATCTGGTGTATTATTATCATTCTGTTATAATTCTCTGCTGTTCAGAGTGAGTCATACGGTTTTAACAGAGTATTTCCATTTTATCATTTTCTATGAGGCCCAACTAAAATGATCCAATGATTGCACGCTCAGTTTTCCGTTGTGGATAACTTTACACGTGACATTGTCATTTATCCAGTGAGCGAGGTTGATAAAGACTTGGAGCCCTGCACAATGTTGAAGTAATTTCCCAATCACTTCACGGTTGCAACTGTCGAAAGCCCCTTCAAAGTCAGTCATACTTAGTAGGAAGTTTGGTTGCCATTTTATGCTCCGTTCGATCATGATGCATGCATGACATACTTTTTCTGAAAGCAGCTTCTTCCTGTCGGAGATCTGCATTCATTTCATCTTTGAATCTCTTCAGTATGTCATGACTGACTATTTAGCCTGGGGCGCACAGGGTTATGATTTCGAGCCAGTTCTTCCAGAGGTCTATTTCTCTCTTCTTGGTAGTAAGATGTGATAGCTTTTTGCCCATGAGTCTGTAGATAATGTTTCTCCCACCGAAACGCTTTGTAATTTTAGTGTGGGGATAAGCACAAAAATGTCTGAAGCCTATTGCATACTTTCCAGAGGAATCGCATCTGCTCCTGATGCCTTCTTGAATGGCTTCTAATAGCCAGTCTTATGTTTTTTAGCGAGATATATGTTCACTTGCAGTCATATGAGTGCTGTTGGCAGTATTTTTGAATGAGTTTCAGGAGGTGGTTGTTCAATGGTTCTTGAAGCGATCAGGCAACTGATTTATTTGTCTCTCTCACATTTGAAAATTAATCCTCTTGAACATCTTTGATTGATTTCGCCTGCGTTGATCACTTAACGGATAGAGACCCAGTTATCTGATATAGTGTTTTAAGGTCGACGTTTACCCACTCCCTGTCTTCCTACAGTTACTGGTGTGTTGTAGAGTAGTCTCTCCTCCTTTATCTCACTTAATTTCAATTCTTTATTTAGTGAGATGCGCATTGACCTTAGATTCTGTTTTCCATCTTCGCTCTGTTTCGTGTTCTGTACTACCATCCATCTCCACACACTTAGCATCCAGATGACCATAGAGACACTTGACACTTCTTTCATTTTCAACTGGTTGTACTCGTTTCCTTGAAAATCGCCTTCAAAGAGTTTCAGTATTTTCACACATAGATTCACTCAGTGACGTCACTCAGTATCTCCGACTTTGATATAATGTCTTCATTGAAAGTGTCAGCATCCGAGCGTTTTATTGAAATTTCGTTCAGTCTGTGGACACTTTCGGGACTTTCAACTTGACCATAAGGGTTATTTTTACTAGTTACCGTTCTTATCCCAAATCTCCCTCCTCCTCGGTCTGTATCTCCACATTCTCGAGCACTGTTGATATGAAATTTATCTGACTTTTGATGTGTCCGTCATGTGCAACCAATGTTGCCTTCTGTACACCACTGTGTGTTACCTTGTACACGCTTCCTCCAATAACGAAATCACTGAATGGTCAGAATTCTGAGAAGGTTTCTTTTTTCTCATTCATTCCCCCTGACAGCCTCATGACTCAGAATATGTCTTCTTCTTATTATTCTTGCTCCTGGTTCACCAACTAATTAACATCTTAGCGTTAACTAACCTGTGTCTCTATTCCTTGTCTTGTCTACTACTTCTTGCAGTTGTCTGTGGAAGTCTTCCTTGTTTTCTTTTTTATTTGCGAAGCACGGGATAACTGTTACATCTCTTGTCTTGTTGATGAGATTGGTTCCCTCCTTACTGGAGGTTTGAAAGCAGGAACTTACATTGGGATAGCCATCCCCTCTGTGTGCTGATTGTTTTTGTTGGTATGGCCAGAGTGGATTATTGGCTCTGTAGTACAAAATGTGGAGAGTCCACATCAATTGCATCTACTGCCAAAGATTCCTTCCACTTTTATACAGTGATTCCTCACTCTATCTGCATTCTGAGTAGCGTTACGAGCCTAAAATATTGTCAGAATATTCATCTCCTTATGCTTGTTTTCGCTTCTATCTGATGAATGGCATATTGCCTGACTGGCTTTCGAAGGCTTTCACCAGCCTGTGTCATTTTGTCACTGTGATTCCGATGGAGGAAAAGATATTATTATGTGTTTATTGGGCTTTGAAGTCTCTGCAGCAACTGGATTTATTTTGCTTGCATCTTTTACAAGTCTTAGGATCGATTAAACATCCATCAAACTGGTAACCAAGGCACTGGCATCTCAAATGGGAAATTAAAGCTGACTCAGAATCCGTTTTTAACAAAAATTCAAATGAAAGGTGTGAACTTACCATATCTAAAGCAGTGTTCCAAAAGCCACCGGTGATTTCAAAGAACATTGGCTGAAATAAGTTTAAGTAAATAACATTAAAAACGCTAAGCTCAAATTATACGGGGTTATATGCATGACAGTTCAAATTGTAATAATTAGATTACAAAATTGAACTCTACTAAATGAGACGAAACTAAAAAGTGTAAATATACAACTACGGAGTCTTCTTACATCTACAACGAAGTAGTGAGAAAAATAGAGACTACTGAAATGCTTTTTTTACTGAAATGTGAACTTTGCACTTGTTACGATTATGCAAGAGAATATTTTCATATTTTTCAAGATTTTCCTATGAGAATAAGTGTTACACTGTTTCTCAGACAGGTGGATGTGGTGCGAATAATGAATTGCTAGATAAGGCCTACTATTTGCATTCTTTTCCCCTGTTAATGTATACATCTTTGATCTAAAGAATACGGAGATGAACTAAATCTCAGTAATCATCGTATTAAAAGTAATCTAGAAATTACTGGAATAATTGTTAAAATAGGAAAAAAGATCATTTGGCACTTCAACTGACTTACATCATCCTTTCCTAGAAAAAATAAAACTATGCCGGTTATCACAAAAGCCGTCGACAAAAGCATCATTACTATTATCACTTTCAGTTTTAATCTTTTGTAGGTGAAGAAGCAGAAGACGATTGTCAACAAGTCTTCCAGAACGATGAAGCCCAATAGAATGAAACAGTTCTTTTCATATTTGTTGCAACACATAGAAAAGATATTGGCAGACCATAGCACAATCTGGTGACAAAATAAGTCAAACATCTTCAATAAGTGAATGTGAAACTTTTATTATTTTTTAATTGCATTGATGGGTTACAAAGTGAATCTTTATTTCCCGTTTATTTGCTCTGACTGGCATTAACTGACTAAAACTTCAAAAAACTTGTGTGTCCTCAAAGTCGCGTACTCACCTTCAAAACGGAACATACTATGTCTGGTTACGCTTCTTGTTTTAAGTGAGAAAACGACATTTCTCCGGTGTTGGAAACATTTACACTGTCAGAATGAATATGTCGCATCCCACTGAATTTACCGGTAACCATGCATTCATAGCCACGCCGACATAGGCAGTGCTCATCTACCTCTACAGTTCAGGGCAGCAAAACATTTCTAAATAGCTGAAGGAACAAATAAATTCAACGAATTCACTTGACACTGGAAATATATGTCTATCGTGAACTATCTGCAAGCACATCATAGAGATATGTCATAGATTTGTTTACAACAATCCTTTTGAAGCCAACCATTAAACCTGTTTTGTTATATGCTTGAATTTACTGAAGCCTTAACCAAAAAGTCTTAAAACTGTTTTACCTATTAAAAGAAAATTTCGCTTTATTTTTCACCTGTATTAGTCATGCAGTTTTAGAACCGAGGTTCACCTTTCTTAATACTTTTCTCACATCCCTTTTTTATTTCTACCTCACTTCGTAATCATTATCTGTGATCTTAACCCTTTAATATTCCAACTTATAATAATTCAATTTGTCTGCAATAACATGAAATGTTTCAGTTAAATTACGTTATCTTATTGTTTCGCCAATCCATTTGTGTATTTTCGATAAAGTAGCGCAGTAAAACCGAAAGGATCATGAATACATGTAGTCAACTCATGATCTTCATTATCTTGCAAAACTTACTATTATTCCGATCAGGAACAATGCAACTGGCAAATTATTTCTGAATTTGAAGAACAGTAACAAACTGAGGAGTACAATCAGTGCCCTAAAATACAAATAGAAAACAGTTTTACTGCATTCTAAGAGCTGAAACAGAGTCATTCTTGTATGAATATTCCATTCTGTTATGGTATCAGACAGTATATCATACGTTTTTTTATTCAAAAAAACATGGAGAAACAGCTCTTTTAACTGGATGCAGTTTGGATCCAGTCTGCATAATATTGAGGCAAAGGGATGCTGACTGAACTAAAATGATATATCATACCCCCGTTGCTTCACATTCACCATTCATTATAAGATTAAATCCCCATTCATCTGATTCTTTTACTATAGAGAAAGGAGAGATTTCGTAATATCTGGAGCGGCTCTGGAACTAGTCTTAGTTCAACATTTGCTCATAAGTTCCTTTAGTAATGCGGTAGTTATCAGTTTGTTGGTGTGAAGCGTTACTTAAGACCTGTTTCCTGAGAAACCAGAATTTATTAGCCTTTCTTGAGAATCTGTTGGTCAGTAGACTAACAAGTGATTTCCGAATCAACTTATTAACTATTTGTCCACCGATGCTAACTAGAAAAGTGATGCTTTATATGTTTCTTGAGTAGAATGGTTTTCCATACCAGCTTCAATCTTTGTGTTCATGTTCTCTTTATCAAATTCTAGTGGTAGTGTTTTATTCTCAGAAGCCTGATACTCGGATGAGTCTTCACCCAACAGGCATGTCAAAGCAAATACAGCAAACTAGTCGATCCATGTCACACAGCTTCAGACTCAAATGTGAGATCGGCGAAATTATGAATAATAAAACAAATTCGTAGGTGGATAAGAAAACTTCTGAAATAAGCATCCACTATCACAGTGATCATGAGTGGCACATATCGTTCATGCGGAAATTCGAATTACCACCACACTTTAAATTCGAAGGTGAATATGTAGTCCAGATGGAATCTAAATAATTGCCAATAAAATTCTCTGAAGTAGAGAAGATAGACACATCACAGACAATCATGCGAGCTGCAGATCTTCTACGTTATTTTACTCAACCAAGCATTCGAAACATATAGATGGGTCTACTAGCGTATTACGGACTACGCAGTTTGATGAAGCATCAAACCTTACTAAAGGAGTGACAGTAAGCAAAAATGAACCCTCAACAGTTTGTTTGTAAGGATTTTATTTGTTTCTGACTCAAATGTGGAGAATCTGACCCCCAGTGGGTGTGTACTGCACACCAGCCCCATAAAAGGACGGGAAACCTGTCTAGATTCCAATAGTTTCAAATGGTTCTCTGAATAATATGGATTCATTATTTCCACAAATCAACCACTTGATTCTTCAAATTATATTCACCAGTTAACATAAACGTATTCACATCCATATGCTACTGAATGTGTTCTTCTGAAAGATTGTGAAAAATGAGACTTACCAGCAACTGACTGCCACATAATCCACCCAAGCTTCCTGATGATCTTCAGCAACCTGAAGGATGAAATATTCACAGGAAATATAAGCGGAAATTCTGATGCGAATCTTAGATAACCAGGGCTAAACACAGATGAGAAATCTGTCATGAAATATTGTTGGTTTTGGTAACTAACCCGCAGAACGTTGAGCTTAGACGGAACCAATGAATCGTTCTGTCTTACTTTTCAGAATGAATCTCTGATGCATACAGGTTGGTCACATGTAACCTATATCGTTAATTTAATGTGATACTTGTTTGTGAATTTCAAAAACGATGAAACAAATATGTTAGGATCAGTATTACTATGCAAATATATCATAGTCAGTAAATTCGGCCTGAAAGAGCTATGGGTATATAAACATGCATATATAAATATAAATATATATATAAAACCCCTAGTTTGTGAATTTATTTATTTATTGACTACTATGACAATGAAATACCCAGAAAATATTAGGAAGACTTGAAAAATGTTTAACTATTTTGAAGCAAGGCTTCTTTGGTATTACAGCCAATGCTCGTGACTCATAGCGACCACTAAGCCTCATATACCTTGGAATCATAGAAATATAGGGCACGAGATTATACGAAAAATAAAGCCTTTGCGAATCTAAATGATGACCAGCGAATGTTAATGATTACACATAGTATACATTGAACTGGTTACCTGAGAGAGAGAAGCCATCTTACACTAGACGTTAAAGTATTCAGCTGAAAAATATGCTCAAATAATGTGTAAATATATATGCATCTCATTATTCATACTCTGATCCTCAGTTGTTTTTTTTTCAATTCGAGGTGAAGCGTTCAATAACTGGTACCGAAGGCTCCACTTTTCGTGAGTATAATGAAGTGGTTATATAAAACATTCAGTTAGGATTTTTTTTCAAAACTGAAAATATTTCACTTTGAACTATGTGGTTTTTCATGATTAAAAGTGGTGAATTCATAAAAAATGCGAAATAAGTCAAGGATCAAAATTCAATGAGGTTAACTTTAATTTATGAGGCGATTGTAAGTGTGGTCATCAATGTGTTAAATATCTACTAGATTCAGATCAAATAGGATAATCAATAGTTTGATCTCCACCTAGTGGATATCTTGTGACAAAGTGAAATGTAATGTGGCGTGTGGTTAATTTTTCAATTAAGAGAAGTGAATTGTGCAGCTTCCCATTGTAGAAGATCGCTTATGTGCCAACTGTTCGCTAGTTACATTCTAACGATCATTTTATTGCTAGAACGTTGAGATAACAAGCTGAAAATGAAACCTTTCAAACTGTGGATGATATATCTCAACAAATTAGATTATTGGTCACGTAGTATGTATCAATGAATAGCAATGATTAGTAGTGACACCTTCATTGCTTGAATAACTGAATCCCTCTTTTCTCAGTACATGCCTCATTACGAGAATAGGTTTCAACTATCATTTATCCTTGATGGCAAGCCAAAAGATCAACGGCTTCTTTGAGGTGCGTTATTTAATAAACGTACCACTTGTGTGATTGAAAGCGAGGTTTAATTTGTATATATTCACCCAAGGGGATTTCTTATTTTTCCTTTCAAACTCCAGAAGATGTTACATACAACTCTGTTGGCCTCCCAGCCATATTCAGTCCAGTGACATGCATCAGGTGTCTGCGTTAACAACATTCATGAAGCAGGACGTTCACTAACTAGTTCCATGGTGTCTAAAGTTGCTTCTGAGTTCATTGTCTGTCCAGACTCACTGAAAATGGATTGATGGATATGCACCTCATTGTTTTGAGTCTTTGCTTGGTTCAACAGATCAAACCATGAATATGTTAATATTCGCGGAAAGAATTCAGGGTAGAAGCAAAATCTAAGCAGGTGCAGCACATCGATAAATAGGTTCCGCAACCACGGAGAATGTGGTACTGATCCAATTCTTAGCAGCAGGTTTCGACTCATCCTTAACTTAAAATTTTATATATCTTTTCATGAAGGCTTTTGGATAAATATTTGATTCAAGAGTGGATTAAACCAATTTAATTCCTTGCCAATGTCTTCTTCATCAGTAAATGGACGTTTGGCTCTGTTAATCAGATCCTTGGCCACAGATACTTTGGTGGTAAATGGGTTAGCTGAATAGTTATCTAGGTATCTATCCAAATTTATCGGCTTTCTGAGACTGTTTATTTTAAATTTGCACCCTAGTTTTCTTTTTACTAAACAGTCCAGGAACGCAAACTCATTCTCATAAGATTCAACCTCCTTTGAAAACTCGATAGTTTCTGACATATTGTTTATTAAGTGAAAAAGTTCATTTTACAAACTACTTTTGATTATGACGAAGGTATCATCCACGTATGTCAAATACATCTTTGGAGGACTAAGGCATCTCATAAATGCATTTGTTTCTAACGAGTGCTTAAAATTTAACATAAGCACTTTTACATAGATATCACAACTCAACCTTCAATCAGGTTTTCTGCAAAGCAGATTTCTGAAAACACAAGGATTTTGCAGTTCAGACAAGATTAAGTAAGTTGACAAATCATTCCGCCTCTTTTGATTAGGAATGTTCAAACAACCGAATATTCGTTTATTTCCTTATTGATTGCTGAGTTAATCTGATTAAATGAAGAAATGTACATCGGACATTCTAAAAAAGAACTAAATATTTCATCTTCACTGTAGTAATTCAGATCGATACGTTCCATTGCTGATGACATTATGTATGCACTCTGTTTGAAAAGATTGTGAAGATTATCACATACTCCATCTACGTGTTCACACTTACGACAAAGTCGAGATACAATGAAATTTTCCTCGCTGAATTGTCTTTAATTTTTGCATAACTCAATGGGTATTGATTATCCTTTTCTATTCAGGTTCTGCCTGGGAAATGGCCTGGATCACGATGTCATTTCACTATCTCCTCAGAGTGTTTCCAATCAATCCCCATTTTCTCCAGCATATCTGGTAAGCACGAGGTTTTTGATTGATCCGTTCATTATTACATAAGATACAGGATGCAACCAATTAAGGCTGGACTTCCATACAATAAAATTCTATTTCGCAGTTTTGTTCACTAACAACGATTCTCTGCTCACACTGAATAGCACAAATGCTTTTGCCGAGATGGGATTACACGCTACCTGTAACAGTAATTCACAGACTTCTCCATACATAATCTACCCATAGCGTGTACATAAGTAGCTGATATATTTTTAAATAAACATTTTTCACATATTAAGATCACTCTGTATTAGAAGACGAATAATGAAGAGTTCAAGGAAGATGAAATGTTCATTATAATGACAGGCAGGTTAATCATACATATGATTTACATACAATTATTTCCAATAAACACCCATATCCGCACAATCCATCTTCATGTATAATTCTACAAAGATTATCTAAGGAATAGCAAGTATGGTGAAATTATGGTCACGTCAGAAACACAAATACGGTGGATAGAATGAAATGTGTTCGGGGTGTTGACTGAGATGAATGAAGTGTTGGGTAGTGGTTACTTTCGATATTCATCTGAATATATGCTGAATTGTGAAGTAAAGGTGGTTGACCGGTGAGAATGAATGATTGGTAGGAAAGAAGATTGATTGACTGTGATTAAGCCAACAACTGACCACCAAACAAATAGGCATATTTAATTTCAGGTAGACTATGCATTTGCTGAGGATACTAACTTGATATGTGAAGTAACAATAATGTCTGGGAGTGAGGATCGAAAAGTTGATATGTAGTCTAGGCTTATTTTGATGTGGTTTTGTTCTCTGAGCTGGATAGTTAGTTTGCGAAGCTTTCATCACCTTACTGGGTGACATCTTCAGCGCATACTTCAAATTGAAGTGAGCTTTTAGGTTTCTCCACGAGTTTATTAATCATTCCTCCTGGTGACCTTGGACGTGATTGGTTGTTTATGTATGTTTTCACACCTTCTAGGTTACTTGTGTTGGAACTGATTGTTTCTGTGACTTGAACTTTGGCCAATCGTGTGTGAAGTTTCTTTCTTATTGGTTGATAAATTTTGTCTATCTCGATGTGTCTATTGATTGATGATTCACTGGAATGCCAAGCTTCTAAAAATTCTCTAGCATTCTTGTTATTTCCTTTGTCTAATATTTGAACGTTGTCCCAGTCGAATTGATGTCCGTGGTTGTCTGTGTGTAGTGAAATGAGGGAGTGTATATCATGTCTTTTGACGGCTAGCTTATGTTCGTGGATACGAAGACGAAGGGGACGTCCACTTTGGCCAATGTAGTGTTTTTCACAGTTGTTACAGTTTATTTTGTAGATGATGTTGGTTTTGTCTTCTTTTGCTGTTGAGTCTTTTGGTTGACATAGAATTGAGTGCAGCGACTTTGTTGGTTTGTGTACGACGTCAATTCCTAAAGGTTTGAAGAGTCTTTTAGTGATTTCTGAGATATCCTTTATATATGGTAAGGCGATTTTCTTTGTGTTTTCCTTGGTGGCTTTTGTTTTGGTAGGTTGGCTTGGGGGTATATGTCTCTTGATGAAATTCCGGGGATATCCATTCTTTTGGAAGACGTCCATGAGATACTTTTCTTCAATTTTTCTTAAGGTGGGAGTGCTGCAGTGAGTCCTTGCTCTCTTGAATAGTGTTTGTATGCAGTTCCTTTTGTGTGCTATTGGGTTGTTGCTGTTGTAATTCAGTATTTGGTCTGTGTGAGTTGATTTCCTATAAACTTGAGTTTCTAATTCTCCTGTAGTTGTTCGCCTGACTAAGACGTCCAAAAATGGTATTTTGTTCTCGGATTCCTCTTCTCTTGTGAATTTGATGTCGTTGAAGACGTTGTTTATTAAGTTGTGAGTTTTGTCTAATTCGTTTCTTTTGATTATTACAAATGTGTCGTCGACGTAGCGTATCCAAATCTTGGGTTTGATCTTTGGTAGAATTATGTTTTCGAGTCTTTGCATCACTGCTTCTGCAATCAAACCTGATATTGGCGATCCCATGGGTGTTCCTTTGACTTGTTCATATATTTGGCCGTTGAATTGGAAGT